ATTTCAGAACTGAGATATATAATTGGTATCGCAATCAGTGATATGAAATGGTCACACAGTAAACGTGAGCGCTGTGAGACCAACTCAAGTTGTTATTATGGTAGAAATACATCTTTAATACTTTGATAAATATCTTTTTATCAACATTAGATAATTACACGACAATAACAATCCCTGGTCACTTAGAATGTGTTGAACACGGAATCGTGGCGGAATATTCAATTCAATAAGCAAGCTTAATATATAATATCTTTTGATGTCGAAACGTGGCTTATGATATTTCAGATAGTATATCATTTATCTATTTATATAAAAAATTGGAGGGACAAGCATTCTTTGTAAATTATGGTCAGTCAAAAAATGTAGTACATGTATTTTTTTTTCATTTATTTTGATGTAAATATAAGATGCGCTTATCAATTTCAGATCGTGGATTTTATATAAAGTAATGAAGAGTGTTTAGCTTCTGTTTTTTTTCCCATATGAACACTTGAGAAACTATGTAGGTCAGTAAGATTTTATATTTTGCCAATACGAAGTCGGAAGTACTTCTACTGACCCAGTTGTCCAAGGCTGATCACAAACAGTTCATATGTTGGTTTTATTGGGTTCATTATAGACCATATTGAATTTCAATGTTTTACAAATATAAGTATATGTATCATGAATAAAAAAATCATTATTATCTGTAAAGTAAGTGCAATTTTATACCAAGTAATGCAAGTTTAAAATATTGTATTTTTTTTTAAAATCCACAGATAGTATGGACGAAGAATAGAAGGATACCAGTTGTTATCGGATCTAAAGTCATGGGAGACAAACGAGTCCAATTAATCATGGATTACGCACATGACCGCACTCTGTCCATTAAGAACATCAAAGTATCGGATGCAGGCTCATATGAATGTTTAGCTGATTCTAATACAGTCCCTTTAGCCATATACAACGTAACTGTTCTAGGTAAGCACGTGTAGCTACAAGGTTATCAACATTTCTCAAAACTGAGGATCGCAAACAGACGCGCCAAATCCGCTATAAATCGAGCTGAACACCCGCATGGAGTAATAAATAAAACAGTCAAAAAGAATTTAGGATTTTAAAACTATGGACGATTATTAGACTAAGGAATTTGTACATGTATTTCGGAAGAGTAAAATCATATGCGTCTTTGACATAATCCGTTTGTTATACGTTATAGCAAACGATGAGGGAAAGGGGAAGGGGGGAGGGAAGTGAGAAACAATTACAAAGCCTGGAAGTCACAGGAGTATTCCATGAGTGTTCGCTTCTCCTGCAACCAATCTAGCCGAGACATTATAAACAGCAAAAACATTATTCTCTAGATAGAAGACACACGTGGATCGTTAGTTGTCTCATGAGCCAAAGCTAACATTATACATATTGACTACTGACGTACAGACAAAATACGGTTCTCAGGAAAGTGTTATCACAGTGGATGTCACCCTGCACAAATCACTTAACCTCAGTTGCTTTGGATTGCACGCAGCGAGGCTCCCGTATGTTGTTCTATGAGGTACCCACCAGCTGCTACAAGGAAACCAACACACAAAAACATTTCATTTGTTCTTGCAATACATGTTAAATGTTCAATATTGTGGTTGATTGTTACTATGCCTGTTACTTCTACTGCCAATGCATTTTTACCAACTTCAAAAGGTATCCATCTTCGTTGGATAAGACCTACAAAAGATACCTACCGTCCGCTACACATCTGGACAAGTGCTTCAAAGTGCAACCCCAAAAAGTGTTGTTGATAATGATATGATATGAGAGAGAGAGAGAGAGAGAGAGAGAGAGAGAGAGAGAGAGAGAGAGAGAGAGAGAGAGAGAGAGAGAGAGAGAGAGAGAGAGAGAGAGAGAGAGAGAGAGGGGGAAGAGAGGGACACAGAGAGAGAAAGAGAGAGATAGATAGATAGATAGAGAGAGAGGGGGACAGAGAGAGAGAAAGAGAGAGAGAGAGAGAGAGAGAGAGAGAGAGAGAGAGAGAGAGAGAGAGAGAGAGAGAGAGAGAGAGAGAGAGAGAGAGAGAGAGAGAGAGAGAGAGAGAGAGAGAGAGGGGGGAAAAAACATTAAATATATCCTTAGAAATTCATGCTCGGCCGAACGGACACAGCGCGATGGCGTTTTTTATTTGTTTGATTGTTTTTGTTTACTTATTTACTTGTTTTGCTTTTGCCTTTGTTGTGTGCTATTACAGATGTCTCTGAGGCTTATTTGCGAACAAGTAGTTAAAAATTTGATCGGTTCATGGCAAGTAATCTTTTAATTTGCCTTTTTATAGCCAATGAAGAACCTCAAACAATGACAACTCAAACCCAGAAGAACGCCATGACAACTACACAAATGGTGATCAGCTCAGAGGAGATTTCGACGGAAGTGATTACTACTTCCACCCTGACAAGCCGACGCAAGGGAGGCAACAGTACTAGCGTCGAAGAGAAACTTGCGGACCCGAGTGGGAAAGGAGGTCGCTTACGTCATAACCTTGTGGTGCTTCTTACAGTTATGTATTTTGGGATTTTTTGGCTGTTGTAGAATAAAACTTTGTTGCAAAATGAAGTTATTTTTTTCTGTTAATGCAATATTGCGGAAAATGTTTATATATTTTTGCGCGAGAAGGGCATGTATTGTACAAGTATCAACACAGCACAGTATATCACGTTATATCACAATATATACATGATACTGTGCAACATGAAAGGAAAACTTTGAAAAATTCGAACATTTTTGATAAATATTCCAAATCCTGTGATGTATATTCTAAACATTATGTTTTATATATATATATAAAAACATATTCAAAATATGTGCTTTTGTTATAAAATTTCTACAATTTTTTGTTTAATATTGTGACACTGTAGTCTTACATATACATTTATATTCGAAATATTGTATTTTATGTTTTAAAACTTTGTACAATAATGTGTTTTGTATTTCATATTTTGTGATAAAACATATACCGCACTATATTGGGTATAGATAAAAAACAATTATAGTATATAACACAAATGTTACAATATAAATAATGTGATTTTTTCTTCATATACAAACCAAAAGAGTACATACAGCTTTTTTGACACACATAATTTAGAAATTTATGCTGGGCTTTTATATCATGGTGCTGATTTTTTAAAAAAATATTTAGTCATCAAAATTTTAAAAATAGACAGAATTTGTTGTTTTGTAGAAAAAAAAAGTTTTAACTTTTTGGTCAGATATGAATTATTTGTTCATGACTAAATATGGGAATTGACAAGTATGTTTAACGGCTGACTAAAAGTACAATTTATTTGTATTATTGCAACAGAAATACAGTGTTAGTCAATTTGTCGTGGCTTATGTACAATTGCCTTTAAATAAAGGGAGGTACATGTATACTCGAGTTGGTCACAGTTTTCAAACCACTGCCTATGGTTTTCATACTGTTGTTAGGTTTTTTTTTTTTTTTTTGTAAATTTTTTGTTTGTTTTGTAATTGTGATATAATTAAGTGTCACATACAGATAGACCATTTAGAAGCCTGGCTGAATCTGATAAAAATGACAAGATTGGTTCTGTTTTCAATGGGTTAAAAGTTGTAATGCATTGAAGGGATTTTCATAAGGATCTCCATGATATTGTTTGACGATGCTTTCTGTATTGAAGAAAAGAAAAGACACTAAGATTATTATACAGAACATAGAAACAGTTTTAATTCACAATTTCAATCACAAAATTGGACGCAGGATTTAACACATCAAGTGAAATTCATAGTTCATCAGGCAATGTATTAAGATATGATCCTAAAAAAACATAATATTTTCTAATAAAAACACTTACAGTACTATAGACGCTAGACATATTTTCCTAAAACATGAATAGTGGCTTAAAGTCATTATCATAGTTGCATGTATGCACGGTTTAAGGACATGCAGATTTTAAGTATTCCGAGCGTTAAATTCATAGATGGCGTCTATAGAGTATCTGAAATGACAATCAAGAAAAAATTCCAGGGCTGCAGAAACGACACAGGTATCAAGACCGAAATCCTTTGATTTCGAAAATATGTAGGAGAGGCCATTGTATAAATTCAGCTGACGTAATTAATTAACGGATTGGCTCAAGTTGCTCTCAGCACAGATCTTCGTAAATAGTCGGATGCGCGAGAGAAGATATTTTACAACGTACATATAACCATACATACAACAATACAAATCTTTACCTCCTTGAATTTATTAAAGTAAATGTGGTGTGAGACTTTGAAATCCAAGAAAGATAAATCTTGCAAAATTAACATTAAGCGTTGAAGTTGGAATCAAAATGTAGTTTGCCGCATTTTTGCTTATATCAAACTGGGACGTTTTCAACGTTTGCATGTAGTTAGATAATAAATTTGTTTACTGGACATATTTATCATCTTTATACTTAATCATAAGTACCCTCGGGCAATACCAGCTCGAATGTTTGTAAAAAGTGCAGAATTAAGTATCCGGTTATGTTGAACCTCATCTTATACACAGCCGAGACATGGATCAGTCGGGCAGTGTAATTATGACGTTAAACTCTCATAAACACAATGGCCGTCTGTTACAGCTGTGGTGGGACGGCGGCAGGCACACGTATACTATAAGTACTCTAGATATGGTGTATATTGCCTAAATCCGGATTCACGAAGATCTACCTAGTCAGGATTCAGCACGTGCTATATGATTGAATATATCTAACTCGGCACTCGTGAAGTTCTATAAAGTGACACGTATCGCCTAGAAAATTATACATATTTTCTGATACAACATTTACAATATATACAGGTACCATAAAACACTACAAACAAGTACTGCTTAACACGGCAAACGTATAACAAAGAAACGCAAAATTATGTATGGGTATCTTGAGACAGATAAGTGGCATAAGAAGTTTCCCCTTGATCGGTATGAAGTAAAATCGTCTATGAAATTGTCATGGTTCCATTTAAGATCGACTCAATGACCATATACTGTAAACAGCTATCCTTACATATCCTTCGGAAAGGTTGTTATACTATTTTTTTAGACAGCGCACAGAACCAACATCGAAAAATATGATGAGATGAAATAACTTCTTATGGAATTGTGAACAGAAATCTTGATTAAAAAAATCTTTAGAAATGATGTCGGACATTAGGTAGTTAGACGTGAAAAGATAATTTCAGAGTGTAAACAATAATGGATAAACAAATCCATACCTGACGTATGAGATACGTATCCTATACCATACAAGTGGTCATTTCAAAGGTTCTTTGTTATTTTCATGGATGGAATTTTCCATATCGTATCATCCATGAAAGAAATGTATCCTTTCCGTTTCAAGCTTTTTATAAAACTATAAAAAGCAGACCATCGAAAAAACAATTACATTCGTCTATACTCACTCTCTTGAAGTTCATTGCGACGTAACGCCCAAAGGTAACTTTGCTTCATGCATGAGTTAATTTTACGAAAAGGTCTAGCATCGATAAAGACACATAATAAGTACCTTTTACATTTCTTCTATTCAAAATTATCTCTGAAAAGTTATTTTATTTTCAAACAAATGGAATTTATAAATCTTAAAATTGTTTATATTTATGACAACTCAATTTTTGGAAATCTGGTGACTACAATATGTAAAGGTTAAAAAATAGTTATATTTTGAAAACAATACATACGTGTGCAAGAAGGTAGGCAATAAGGATTACATATCATTTTCAACTATGTTACTGATATGTTGCTAGCGCATATACGTGTACACTATGTGTAGTTTCATTCTCTATACAAAATGAACACTCCGGAAGCAATATGACTTCATAAGGTACTCCGACATGACGTCACAATGCCAAATGAACACTACCGAATAAATGCGTTACTAGAACATAGATGTATATACAGAAGTTGGTGTGTTACAGTCAGTGTTGTCACATGAAAAGTACAACTGACAAGTATGGAAACCCGTATGTAAGCATGAAATGAATAGCTTCATAAATGACCTGTTCATCAACTAGCTGATCTGACACACCACGAATGACGTAAATACAACGTAACTGGTGCAAATTATACGTCATAATCACAAGATGAATAGCAGTACATTTTTGTCATGAAATATGATTCAGTAAATATGCATTGGATATGTTGGGATGGTACGTCTTAATCAATTGATTTGTTTTGCATTACATTAGGGCACAATACAAGTAGATACAACGACGAAATAATGTTTCCGAACAGAAATAGCCAGAAAAGGAATCTATCGATCACCATAGCGACCTCCTCCCATTGTTTCTTTAAGTCCTCTTCTCGTTGCCTGGCATTGTTTTGGTCCAAAAGGCACTTCAAAGTATCTAAAATAGCTCCGTTGTAAACATCCGGTTTATCAACCGATGACTCACAACATTTGTTCTCATGACTCTTTTTCAGCGACCCCGGATGTGACCGTTGACGCATATGTTCATCGCAAGCAGATATGATAGGAGTAGAGGCGGTTATTTGTTCGTCATAACCCTCTAGAAACTTGCGACGTTCCTCCTGGCAAACGGTGTTTTGAATGTTTCCATTGAGTTCGCCATTCATGGGCTTGGATATAATCTGTACTACGACCGGCCGTTCTTCTTCATAATAGCATTTGTTGATGTATTTGGTCTCCATGCAGATTCCTTTTGAAAGACACATAATGAAACGTTTGAGTCCAGTGGGTACTCTCTTATTGTATGAACCGCGTGCATGGATACTGGACACACTCACTGCGACAACGACGGAACCGGAAGTGAATGACATCGTTGTTATCAAATATATCCCTGCAAAAATACATACGCGACACATAAGATACATACATGTAATTCATATAGATATGTTATTTATTCTAGCGCAAAATTTAGAATATATCTGGATCCCATTGCGTTTTTAACACCATAATATCAATAACAATGATTTCCAATACATATATTTTCGTTGATTCGTACGTAATTGTAGCTTAAATATTTTGAATCTACGTCAGTTGTTTATTGGTGTAACTATGGTAAGCCTGGTAGCTATGATGACATTAAATTCAGGTCGTATGACTCGGTCTATATTACCTAGAATTGTCACAGTGTAAAACAATAGCAATGATATCTGTCCAAGTAAATCATACTTTGATAATTTATATTTCGGAAATTTGTTTGGATGAAAGTGATCTAAATGAAGCATGCATTAGGATCACTAAGGTTGCTGTAAACCAAATACATTGATCCATTCAAAGTTTGAAGTGCCGACCATTTCGTTTCTCAACGCACGGATTTTACATACATCGGAGTTAGCAAGGTGTAGAGTCATGAAACAGGAATGTAATGACATTCTAGAAATATCAAATATTGATGTATTGAATTTCGGATCTTAGAACGTACCAAGGACAGTGTAATTTCTGAAAAAATGTTTATTGGCTGCTAAATGAATTAGTTAGGCCTAGAACACTGACAAAGAAACACTTGATTCCTGGGTACGACAGGAAATGCCTCTTATAGAATATAATAATTCTCTGCATAGCTTACATCAATATCACATCGGGTTCTACATGTGCGGGACAGAATGATAGCACACAGCCTGTTTCAGATGAAACTGTCGTAAGCTTCACTTAGGTCACCTCAGCCAAAAGCTCGGGATGACCTATTGAGATCACCTTTTGTCCGGCGTCGCGCGTCGTAAACTTCTAACATTTTCAACTTCTTCTGGAAAAGTCCTGAATCGATTTCAATGAAATTTTACAAAAAGTCCTTCCATGGAATAAGGCGCATCAAAATTGAAAATTATATGGTCCCCATCCCCCAGGGGACTGATATGGCATTCTAATGGTATGCGCACTGACCTCAGCTGACCCAAAAGGGCTGTTGGGCGGGGTCAAAATTGACTGAAAATCAAAAAATCAATACCAAGATAATATACAGCCAAATTTTCTTCATGAATTGAAGTGTCTTACGGGGCTTTGTAAAATTTGTAAATTTCATGACACCAGGGATCACATATCCCCTTGGAGATTGGGCAAAATGAACTATATATGTTAATAGGAACAATAATTTTTTGAGCATAATTTGTTTATTTTCTTTCAGAAATAGTTGAAACTTGGTAAGACGTTTTTACTTAGTATTAGCTGTTGAAATGCGCATATTGACCTTGACTGACCCCTAGGGGCAAATTGGCGGGGCCAAAAATGAGTAAAAATTTACTGAAATTCCCGAAATGTTCTACTGTTCCAGGAAAGGAGATTCTATATAAGAACATTCATATCAAGGGTGTAATTTCTTTCAATTCAAACTAGAATCCAAATTAGAAATTTGAGAAAGATCTATACATTACGTCTTAAGAAAAAGTGATTTACAAACTTTCGAAGTCAAAATCCAGGATGGCCGCTTGTGGGCCATTTTGTTTTTTTCTGATCAGTACCAAATTCGAACAGACACAACCAGGGTTCAAAAGGGAAACATACGCATGGAAATTGAGAAAGATCTATGCTGTTGTTCCGAAGAAATATCGATAACAAACTTCTTTGGATAAAAATAGGATGGCCGTCTGTCTATAAAATTAAGAAAGGCGAATCAAGTACTTCTTAAGAAATAGCGATAACAATGTTTCAAAGTCAAAATTAAAGATGACCGCCTTCCGGGCCATTCGGTTTTTGATCAGTCCTAAAATTACATGGGCACAACTAGAGACCAAGAGAAATCTTCAGATAAATTTCAAGAGAGATCCATTAAGTGCTTTTCAAGAAATAGCGCTAACAAAAATTGTTTACGGACGGACGACGGACCACGGACGCAGGGGGATCACCATACGATGGGCTAACAAAGTAGGAACCCACCAACATTATGCACAATGAAAACACACGTCGTAGGTTTTCGATCTACTTCATTTGTTGTTTTCATGCATTTGCTTTAAGTATGTAAAACGCTGCAAGTATGAATAAACATGGCTGAGGTGTTTCCAATAAATCCAACGAACACTATGGTAATGAATGAAACTATGGTGTGCAACCTATAATCAGAGGAATTGAAGACCTGAAGAGTTAGGTCCCTTATCAGAATCAATACTAAAGACGAGATTCTTGTTTGTAACATATTCGTGTGCTGTAATGTTTATTGTTTATCAATTGTACTCCAGAGCGATTAGATGTCTGTTTCAACTATAACTAATCGATGGAAATCGGCCCAAGTGTTGCTGGGAGTGTTTGATAAATAGAATACATTTTCTCCAGTATTGGTGACTATGTCTGACCATATCTCTCAGGCGTTAATTAGATGTACACTTGTTTTAACAGCGTGCGTGTTTAGAACAAAAGCAAAAACGGCACTGATCGGTCAACTTGACAGGAGACGACAAATAAGTTTCATATTTCTTGTCTCTATCTTCCATTTTATCTTATATTCTTTGAAATATTGTAAAAAAATGTGATTATAAATCGATGTCATAATATTTCAAATTACATAATTTGTGTTATTTTTTCTTTTTGCTTGTTTTTGTTCAAATTATTTTCTTTCGATATACTGCAAGCCAAGTTGATGAGACATTGCAAAAATCCGGCTTTACAGAAATCGAGACTGACTCGTTAATAAAAAAACAATGTAACCCAAGATCACGCACTGTAGCACGAGAGAAAACATCAGAAATGAAACAAAAACCAAATGGCTATCAGATCTAATGATATATGGGGAGATTTATCTTTTCTTTGAGATTATTGATTTGATGATAGTCTCACGTCTCCACAATTACAGGGATGCTTGTATTTAATCAACGCATGTGAACCACTCCTGTGGTTCGGTTGGGAAGAATGATCGAGAAAAATCACAGGCACTTCGGAGCCGGAAACATTATTTTACAAATTTTTGCATAAAAGTGTATACAAAACCGTTAAAGACTCTTCCTTTCTTTAAAGACACTTGTTCAAGATGTGATGTAGAACAATGTTACTTTAATTCGAACTCTTCAACGTCTGATATGCATTTGCCTTGTAAAAAAGAACTCATTTAAGTCTATACATAATATGTATGACATTTCGATTAATGCAAAGCTTGTTTTTTTAAATAGAAAAAAAAAAAAAAAAAAAAGAAAGAAAGAAAGAAAACAAAGTCACTTGAAATGTGACAGAGTTTAACCAAAAGTCACACGTATATATCTGGTTGGTTGTCCTATAAAAATAATGTCTTTATACATGTGCTTAACAGCAGGGAAAAACTGATATTTTCCTGGTTCTCAATAGCCTGTGTTAGACGCTTTACACGATGCACTACACAGGCACACTTCTATGGGAGGTTTGTGAAACAGAACCCACCAAGATTAATTATCAAGTTCGATCTGCTGTCAAATAGAGCTTTACAGGCATTTGTCCCCTCGTAAGTACTAATAGGTTCTGTCCACTGGAGGTTAAGATATCATATCGTGATAGACTTGTAGGTTTTTTCCATTCAATGCATAGTTTTTCGTGACAACAATAAGAAATGAGATAATAAACGAATAAAAAAATATAATAATTATCATAGATAAGTAAAAAAAAAAAAAAAAAAAAAAAAAAAAAAAAAAAAAAAAAAAAAAAAAAAAAAAACAAAAAAAACAAAAAAAAAAAAAAAAAAAAAAAAAAAAAAAAAAAAAACAACAACAAAAAAAACAAAAAACAAGTGATGATACCACTTTCCCCTCTGGTTTCTAGCATAATTATTTAAATAATAATTTATTTGCTATATATAGGTTTTTTCAAATATCATTTGAAGAACCAACTTACCCAGAAGCGGGATGTAGAAGGAGGTGGCGGGCGTGTTTTCTGCTATTAGCAGCATGAAGACGGATAAAGATAATAACACAGTCAACCCTAACGTCACCTTCTCTCCACCATCGGGGTGCAACCAAAATCCTAGAAGAGCTAGTGACGATAGCATCACTGATGGTATGATAACGTTGTACAAATAGTAGGTCGTGCGCCGCCGGATGTGGACTGTAAAAGTGACATCTGGGAACGGTTCCTTACAACAAGGGTAGACAACTACGTTTCGAACAGCTTTCGTGTCAATCAGTTCCCATTCTCCATGGCCAACAAAGTTTGAAAGGTCTATAGGGGTTGATCTGTTGAAAATGTCGACTTGAAAGCCATCATATGCCCAAGATCCCATCTTTAGTTTACAGATTTGGTCGTCAAATGGGAAAAACGTTATGTCCATTTCACACGAGCTTTTCAGTTTAACAATTGGTGGCCAGAACACCCGTCCGCTGTATGACACCATTGCTAACGCCTCCATGTACTTTTCGTTGTAGTTAGAGGCACTGTAACAACAGAAAAACAGAGTCATATCAACTGTCCAGACACATCAATTTCACTGTGCGCTCGTGTGACTGCTCTTTTGGGAGCCATTTCTTAACAAAAGCCTTCGGCGAAAAACCAAATCATTTTAGTTTCTAACGAGACCTCGACGCGTGTTTCCCCAACAGAGAACAAACATTCGTGTTGATGAAAGTTTAAAATAAACCTTACAACGAATTCACAACATGCTTTAAGACACTACACAGAAAAAATTGTTGCGGAAATATCAGAGGGACAAATTAAATTAATTTTTACCGATTCATTAACATGTTTCCATAACTAGTAATTATTTACGTAATTTAGACAACAATATACATTTATACGTCTCTGAAAAACCTAAATGTCCGACAGATTCTCATCGAATCAAAAGACATTAAAAACTAATTTTACCCACATGTACCCTCTAGATGGTTGTTTGTTTGTTCTTGGTTTGATTTTTATATTTTTGATTTTTGTTTTTTTACTTGTTTTGTCAGGAAGATTTTTATCGAAATAACACACGTATCACGTCGCCCATTCTATATCCTTCATATTAACGCATATACGAATAAGACAGATACACACCGGTGTGTGGTAAGGAATCTTTCTCGAAGGTAGACCTGTAAGACGTCTTGAACATCTGAATATGTACAAATAATATTTTTCGAAAGGCATATCTATTTCACTTAAGGTATAACGTTAAAAGAATGCCTAGATTGTATTTGTCTTAATCCGGCATAAAAAATTGATTCGAAAAAGAACAGTATATATATATATATACGAGCCAGATCGGTTCCTAATTGTAATGTAACTGTTAACTCAAGAAAACCATTACCTTAAGCAAGAACAAATATTTTCCAAAGTCGTGTCTGATTATTTGTGTTTGATATCTTGTCGGGTTATGAAGTGATATCTTGACCAAGGTAATTTTACAGGACAGAAAGTATGATAAGAATAACGTGGTGTCTGAAATGATGAAACATATTATTAGTCAAATAAGTATTTGTTCGGATACGTGTGCTATCTACGATAGAATAAATATGATCCTGATGGAAACATCAAAAAGTACGTTTCTCTAAGATACTACGTACGGCATTTCTCTATAACAATATTCAGAACCAGTGCCTTTGACCTCATTCTTATCCCCTGTCACATTCAGAATTCCTCTTCATAACCTATATCATTCAGTACTTTTGCTTTATCCATAACTCTTCGTTTTAACTAATTAAATAACCTTCCTTTAAACATCATTCAATACCATTGTTTGCGACTTCATGTAAAACCTTTCCATTTCTTGTTTACCTCATACAAAACAAAATTCATTGACAGACAATTCCAAACCCCTCTCTTAGACCTCATTCAGAACCCCTGCCTGTGACCTAATTCAACATCCCTGCTTGATCTAATTCATAATCCACTTTTTAAATGGACTCCAAGGATGACCAGTTGCCATCAAAACTCCTCGTATACACGGTCGTTTCGTTCTTGTTAAAAAAAAAAAACAAAACAAAAAAAAAAAAAAAACAAAAAAAAAAAAAAAAAAAAAAAAAAAAAAAAAAAAAAAAAAAAAAAAAAAAAAAAAAAAAAAAAAAAAAAAATAGCTTATTTTTTTAGGAACATGGCATTATTTCATTTAATTGATCAAGATCCGCATGGCGGACGTCGTTGATACATTAGAAGACGCTTACCTTATACAGGACGCTGTGTAAACGTCTCTCCTTATATTGCTCTCGTATAATCCATATTAGTTAATGTATAGTTCATGTTTTTCAAGAATTCTTAAATAACATCACAGACAGAGCCGGTGCTCCTTCAGCCAGAGTTATGTTTGAGTTCAGGCAGTAACTGGACGTAGCGAGAAACAGTACGTTGAACGGTTAAGAATAGCGATATTCCTTAATCAGAGGGGTTATTTTAGGAAGTTTTATGTACAAACATTGTTTATAAATGATAACTGTCATCGACTCTAACTGGAAAAATGTAGATCTCCAAGGTAACATGAATCAACGGACGCCTGACAAGTTATCTTTTCTAAATTTCTTAATTCCAGAACAACAAGAATATACCACTTGTCAACAAAATCATCATCTAAATCCAAAGTCAATAAAACGAGGACAAACTGATCACTCCTGAAAAAGCAACTATGAGAATAAGACCATTTATTCCGGATGAGTTTTTTCAACAACACGCGCCATGTAAATCTGTTTTAATCCAAGTTACGTCACATTCCCAAATGATATCACTGTAAACAACAACAGGAACCATTTGGCAAATGTAAACTAACGAGTATCAAACACGTCCGACTTCATATTGCACGTGGAAATCGAATATATTTCCTAGTGGGATTACAATAGCGACCGTAAAACGTCCCCATTATTTTTATCTACCTGCATTTCTCCGAAGCATGTGTGTTGTTAGTTTGTCTGCTAGTTGCCGACATCTTGCATGAAAAAATGTGAAATTGAGATTAGCCCCTGAATAATGAATCAAAAAGACCCACCGTTAAACTCAAGGAAAATATTGGAGAACGCTTCTATGAGGTGAACTGAGAAAGGAGTCAACTCCATCGATGTTTGTGAAGGGTGAATGAGTCTTTTCTTTTATCGACGACACTCGCCAATAAATATGATCCTTTACATAAAAGTGTCAATGTTTATGCTAGTAGATGCATTTTCTTTCGTTAGGTTATATGTCGAAATATTTAGTTTAAGTCTTTAAGTTTAACTTATAAAAAACGTGGATATATAAAAATATCATGATTTAGTTTCCATTTTTCATATGAAGTTTTCATTTTAACCTCGATTCTGTAAAGGTGAAGTGAGAAATGAGAGTTTTATAAATACAAATGTAGCAAATGAAATGGAAACTCGTGAAATATTATGTTAAACTGATAACTTCGATGTTTTCGTACGATTGATATAAAATACAAGGAAATAACATCATGTCAACATAATCAAAATCCAATCTTACATTCAATACATCTAGGTGAAATATGAACAAAAGGAAGATTTACACGGAGAATTCTTAAAACTTACAAGGAGAATAAGACCAGGTGTTCCGGAAGAGTAAGTGTCGTCTACTTAATCGACGACACTGCCACACCAATCCAAGTCACTCCAAGTAGGTAATGGCACAAGGTTTACCACAACAATCTTAATGACCATAAAACGTCCCCATAATTGTTGACGAAGATATTTTACTCAATATCTCTTCATTTGATAACTCACTTTGTACGCATCTATGAAATTATGGCGTCACAATTGAAACAATTGTTATAACCTGTATGACAATAATCACGGGTGCTACACACTGATAAAACAAATATGTAACAGAAGAGACAAAACTGGCTATATTTTTTGGTAATCAGATTAGCATTGAATCTGAAAACAACATCATCATAAATAGTATTTATATAAAAAGTACTGAACTATTTAAATATATACACTTTGTCATAAATTAGGGACTAACAATCTCTTAGACTGGGCCTAATTTTGTTCGCTATATTTAAGGAAGATATTCAATGGGAACAGCAACAAAACTTTACAAAGTCTATAGGGAAAGAGATCTACAGAACCGAAAGTGAAAGTAGGAGTGTCTTTATCACTTTTTGTAGATGTAGTTTGTAGTCTGACCATTCGAAGTTCCACTAAGGACATGCAAACGAAGTTTATATTTTGGAGGAAAACTTTCCCAAACAGTTACACCGCCACCACCATCATTGTGCCTATGCTATACCGATGGATGTGCCGTATTTCTTGGTATCCAAACAAAAGTGCTGTCATTCGGACGTAGTAAAAGGTACTTTTTCATTCGAGAAGTGGCCTCTTCGCCAATTCATTATCTGCCATATCCGGTGGTCACGTACCCGTTGCAGTGTTGTTTGTTTGTGCTTTCAAGTTAACAGACGATGTTTTACTGGTCTTTTGTTCCCATGCGAACATTGACATTCCCTGTCCTCTGAACCTATTTGCAGTGGTGAATGTGGCTCGCCTTGCCTGTCTCCACGAAAGTCAATTTTCTCTATGTATAGTCTGCAATGTCCTGTTTATTGTTCATTAACAGAGAAATGACAGAATGGTTGACATTAACAAGGCATTCGCTTTCCTGTATGCCATACCATTTCAGGGGCTTGCAATGTTTCAGCATTTGTTAAGTTTTGACGTTCAGTTATAAAATACCATCTCACTACATGCATGATGTACTAGTTATATCTGTACAAACTTTGCTTAAAGTGTCAAAACAAACCTTTTACGTTGTTAGAGTGCGGGATACCTGAATTTAATCCTCCTTAAGTTTAGTGTATCGCCTGGTGACATACGTCTCCAAACATGATAAGGAGACATTGCAAGGAGCAAGACAAGGTTTATTTTCACAAAAGGAAAATTAAACTTTTTCTTAAAACATTTATACTCCAACTGATGGTCCCTAACTTATGTATAAGTGTATGTATTCAAAATACTCAGCAACTCATCAATATAACACAATCGTTATGTAGATATTTCCCTCGCTTTTTCCCGCCTTGTACGTTCTGAGATAGACATGATAATTCATCATAATACTGAATGGATTTATGGTTTGCTTTTGTAAGTGTAGACATTAAGTAATTTCGATATACACATTCCTTCAAGTGTTTACCTGTTGTAGAGGACGATATCGGGCAGCCAAAGTTTCGTACATGGAATTCTCAATACTTCTAGTCCGTTATAATCCGCTGGGTCCCAGGACAGCTTCTCGTCATGCCATTCCTGTTATACAAATAATGATAGGTTAATTAGGAATTTACATCACAAAGGAATCGACACTGCAGCTAAAACGTACTGATTTGTGAATTATTAAGAGAATTCAAATAATTGTAATACTAATATAATGCATCTATCTCTTCTGAGCCATGATTTTGACTTTTGGTTTTACACTTGATTCAAATTAACCGTAACGCCATCAAAATACTATCTACACATTCCTAAAATAATATGACACACATACAGAATAAACAGCTTACAACAAACATGCATTCCTGCATTGGAAAAGATCCCATTTCCGTGTACGATATGGTGCTAAATGTTTACAGTGCTCCTTAGAGTATTTAATAGATTTAATGTTATTAACAAGGTTCCTATTTTGAGTACATGAGACGGATTTGATAAGACTTAAATAACATGGCAGGTGTTGTAAATAGACCAAGAGAGGATTCTTTTTGTCAGACAATATTTTTTGACTTATCTGTCCTTGTGCTATTTCGATGGCTTCGCGTAAATCTTTATTTTGATCATATTAACCCATCGTTTCAAGTTTTTTTTTTTAGCGATGTCGCTGTTGTCTATTTTATTTTGTATTTCGTACACTTTCATTAAAATGTCAGAAAATCCAACAGATCTAAGTTTGACAAAAATAAACATATGTTAAAAACTAATTGATAATACATAAAGTACGTATTACACAATTTTAATAGACGAAAATTATATTATTGTTCTTTAATTGTAACATAGATCCCGAAGGTGTGCAAAATACTAGGCAGATAGTAAGTTTAGTCTTACCTGGTCAAGCCAGACGTTGATGGTTAACACTTGATTCCGTTCATCCTGTAACAATATATTAGCAATAATCAACGTAGGTATCCAGACACTTTAAAACTCCAGAACATGCACTCGCGTTTATGATTAATTGAAAAACACGTTCAATACTAACATGTACTATGAATAGATAATTTTGTTTTTCGTGCAAGAATGAATGCAATTTTAAAAGTTTCAAAACTACAGATGAAACAGGATTATGACAGCTGAATTGATTTCCAAGAAACTAGATACAAAGCAACAAATAATCTGAAGACTGTATAACAAACCTGTCATCCATTTGGTCTTTAAAAAACTCCAAAACAGACAAATATTCTACAGTATGAATGTCTGACAAAGGTAAATGTATATGCTCCAGGCTGGACGTAGAAGGAATGTACATGGTCCCTATTATTCAAAGGCTGAGTAGAGACAGATAGTAATTAGTGATTATTTTCCCCCAAATATGAAACAAACCAAACTGAGGCCATTCTGAATCATTTCAAGGCTGTGTATTCTTAAGACAGGTCAGATTGCTATTTTTTTGTTTTGATACTGAGTGTTAGTTTTGCTTTGAACGCTCTATTTAGTTTTATTTTTTATTCTTATTTAGCGACCACTGGTAAATTAAGACCGATTTGTCTTTTTTTCAGATCATTTATCAAGAGACTATTTAAAATATCAATCACGGACGGTTAGCAAATGTAAAGCATTATGAAATACCCTACAGACAAAAAGAACAGTCATCGTATTTAGCTCTATTCAATGTAAAGCTTTTAAACCTATCGAATGACAACTAGCAGGTGTTGTATTGAAATATATTACTACTGCATCATGCAATATTATGCAACGCCAAACGGGGAAGAGATATCGTTAGTTATTGATGCAAACAATAAGGCATTATATTACAATCAATTTTCTGCGTGACATAAGCATTATGTACAGTTGGCCAACCAGAAACGAAAATCAAAACCAACCTTAACAACCCCCTCTCTCCAATTCAAAAAACGATATAAATACATACTGAAATGGTTGCCAAAGTAAAGATGATTATTGATATATAGAGGATATTAACACTTGATTGCAATATTTTGTTTTGAAAGTGAATAATGTTTGGTCATATCTCTAATTAAACTAACAGTAAATCTCTACTTGAAAATTAAGGGTATTTTGTATTTACACTTTTCTTCTGTAAAAGAGTCAAATTGCAGAACGTGAAAATTAAATATATATATATTTTTTATTTCTCACAGTCGCCTTCTGATATTTAAATCCCTGGCGTCATTGACAAGTCCTATAAAGAGGAAACAGCTGTATTGTGAAGTTTAATTAATCCATTTTGTGGCTATGTTGTTTAATTTGTGTGTTTGTGTGTGTGTGTGTTGCATCATGCTATTCACAGGCAAGCCTTTCATACAAATCACGGATTACATTTCCAAGGCTGCAATATTAAAATATCATCATCAATGCGTTGTGAAAACATCATATGATGTTAAGATACATGTTAGAACATAAGTGAAGATCAATGTCAATTAGTTAAGATAAATGTGAGAGAGAAATGTTTCTATAATATTTCGATAAATTCTAGAAAATGAATTGATGAATGTACAGAAATATCGGTATTATATAATGCTTGGTAAACGATTAATGAATGTGAAAGTTAATGGTGACGAAATTCAATAAATGCTTAATGATCTTCAAATTAATTCTGGCAAAAAATGAGAATTTTTGGCACAGAGTTAAGATTAATTATGATACAAATTAGGGATGGAGTTAAAAAATGGGACAGAGTTACAATAAATTATGAGATAAAATTTAGGATGAATTCTTAAATCAATTAAAGATACATGGTAAAATCAGTGTAGGAATTACTTCTAAATGTTTTTGAAAATGCTAATGATTGCATTTCAGTCGAAAATATTTGTTTATTTGTGTTAATAACGAGCATTCCACTATTTGAGAGAAAGAGAATAGCATTACCTATTTATCATCCTCCGCAGACAGGAAGCAAATTGCATTGTATAAAGAAATAGCGCCTGATGAATTCTACACTCTTTGATGCATGTCTTGGAACTATGCCAAGTAACCAGTCTGTCGTGTGAAGCAAGTATTATGACTCCTACTAACACGGTAAGTAATGAACCACAATAATATTTTCTCCCAAAATAGATAAATAATGATAAAACATCATGATCATGACAAACAAGTTCTCATTTATATAACCTCACTTACTGTTTATATTGTTAAGATGCACATCTTTTATCAATCAATCGATAAAAAACAAATATTACTGAACTTGTGTCAGTATTGAACCCCACACGTTGCGTGAGCTGCATTGGAAACATAGATTAACTTTAAGTGCTATATCGGAAAAAAAGGATGTGCTCTGTTTGTAGACTGCGTTTATAAACTTAAACATAGAAGACAAACCAGACTCTGATTGGAACTGAAATATGTCATTTACTTAATTAACAAATGTTGACCGAAAAAAATTAAAATTACAATTTTCTGTTAAGTACCTGTACAGTTATCAACTGTACTCATCGTTTCCCAATCAGAGATATTTTAAGAGTATACTCAGGGCTACAAGGATGGGGATCAAATTACGCCGCCATGTAGCCATATATACAATTGGAAATGTCTGGCTACATCTCCCATTCACATTTACATTATTGTAGCATATGATCTGTTTTGCTGCTATAGTGACTTGACACAATCGTCCTTAAATTTAAAAAGCTACATGTACACTTGAGTAATTATTGTCAGGCTTTCATAGATTATAGTTATAACATGTTTGTACGTCTGACTGTAGAACCTCGAGGAAAAAATCTTGTGTCGGAATCAATATGTACAAATCGTGTGAGTTCCTTTTTCCTGTACCGGACATTGTCATCAAAGATAATGTTATATAAAGCGAATCGGTTATAAAGAGCATTTATGAGATTTAAATAATGTCATACCAAATGTGATATAAAAGGTATGACTCAATTGTGCTTTTAAAAATGTCTTTATTGTGTTGGTCTTTCCTTGTACTTTTCCATGACCATCCGTGAAAACCATTCTTTAATTTATATATAGTGTCCGTGTAATTGAAAGATTATTTGTTATAAACAAAAGATGTGATATTAAATGGGTGCAGTAGAGAGTTCGATATTAAGCGTTGCCATGGTACATACTTCAACAACTATCTAAGCAATGAATGTTTGCAATGATGTTGGTATATACACATAACTCCAGTTGTTAAAACTGACAAACGTAAAATCTTCATCCTTGTTATTAAAATCCATTTGAATACACCATCTTAGATCAATAATATTTGTTCAAACGAAAAATCCGTCTAGATATCATATTGAAAGCAATGAATGTTTTTATGGGAATAACTGTAAAACTATTTGGTGAACTATTTCTTATTAATATCGATATTTCAAGAAACTTATTTTGCTTAACTTTACTATTTCACTCTTTTGAATAATTAAATTTAGTTGTATTACAATTACATAAATGACGTTATCAAAAACTCACAACATTATCTACACGTCTTACTGGAAGAGTTGTTTATGTTTAACGTCGCACCAAGAGCCGCAGTAACTAAATGATGGTCTTCCCATGTATGCAAAGTAAACTCATTTGTTGAGCGTGTGTGTGAGTCTTCCTGAAACTGAAGTCGATAAATAGAGCATCTAAACTGAATTGCAATGTGTGCGTATGTCACAAAATATGTGTTAGGAAATATACAATGTGTATGTATAGGCTGAATCGGATATTATGATTTTGTGATATAAACCGACTATGTTATAATAAGCGAACGTGAGGTACACGTGGATAAATATATCGAAATTGTGTCTATCAAATAATGCCTTTTCATTATTGTTGATAGGTTTATTTCCTACTTCTACAGATATTGACATTCTAGCATCAAACATGTATAACTTAAGTGGAGAATGGCGGAGTTATCTCATTCTTGTAATTACTTGCACCGGTTTCGTAATAGCAAAATTGCTCTACAAATTTTAGAGTGAATTCACTTAACCGTAATTCTAACGACTTCATAGCACTCATCTTAAGTGTAAAATAAATTAAGGAATGATCTTAAGATGATACGCACGTGCTATGTAACCATAAATTTCAGATTAAAAGAACTATTATTTAGATTTATGAGTAACTTTGAATAGTTTATACTGTGATGAACTACATTGCCTTTGTACCTTAAGAATCAGCGTTTGATTCTGACTTTAATATCTAGGTTCACGTTTTTTAATGTTTCAATATCACGCAATTCATGTGATACAAGGTCGACAACAACATGATTTTTATACATGTAAGTGGTTCCTCCCCAAATGGACTATATATTGCAAAAGCCTCTATGAAAATGCACAATATGAACTAACAGCGGGTCATTTATGTGTAAGAGTGTTTATTTTAAAGAAAATAAATATTCTTATCACACTACATCTAAACAATAGAATAATTGAGAAAACATCTATCAAATGTTTAAAGTAAATAAAAAAAAGATGTGTTGAAATGTACAAGCTTCTTAAAAAGTGAAAAAAAAGTCATCTATATGTCCATATCTTATAACGTGAATATTATTGAACTGGGAAGAAAAAAAGTCTGGCATTATGATTGGACCATTTGTTGGAAGACTACATATCTCACAGAATCTTTGACTACGTCATAGAGAGTAAAATTAGTAACTAGTTGTTGATGTTTGGGAATTCAAAACATATTTCTGACAGCAAAGGTGGTAGTGAAATACAAAAGTGCACGAAGGTTTGGTTTCAGATTGCTAAAGTAGATCACACAAATAAACTGTGACTACCATAAACACAAGAAATTGGCCCACAGTATGTATTATATCTCGCCGTATGTTACAGAGAAAGCGAGAATGAAGTTTCCCACAGCATGGATGGGTATCCACTGTAATTTGATTTAGACGAGAAGGTCTTCCAAGGGAGAACGCGTCAGTGATGATTTAGACCAAGATGTAAAAACCGCAATATATATCGTTTCATCTTATTTATGTATAGTTAATGTAATAACGTTTTCTTTTATTTCGTCGTAAAAAGTACATTATTAATATGTAACAACAGACTATTATACCCACAGGCGGCAAGTATTAGAAGAGTATGTCGGCTGATTTTAAACCAGTCTCATGGGCCCTTCATGAAGAATGAACTAAAGATAGGATAACCCACAAAGAAATGATCAAACAAGTCAAATGCTTTAATAATGGAGGCTAATTTGTGGAAAATGTTATAATCCATACGGTTAGTGGGTTCTTTTTACGATGAATTCGCAATTTAGTGTTCATTAAATATATGAGGCAAAATTCACAAATAACATTTGTTGCTTTTTGCGTGTTGTAGATATTGGTTTCAACATGATATCAGAGTTTCATACTGATATGATACTATTGAACAATTAGATTTCATCGATTAAATTCTCAAACTGAAAAAAAATGAAATAATACAGTTTGTTGAATGCCTTGCAATATGATTATCTAATTTAAGAAAAGGTGCTTTCTTACAGGACCGAGTACTGATGAACGACGATTATCGATCGGAAGGGATTCGGGAGTTTTCGTCATAGTTTTTCAGCCTCTTTCACAGTTCCGCTTCCTCCCGATCACTTCGTCATTCAAGAGTCTGGTCAAACACAGAGCGGCGTTTTTGTAATTCCGGTTTCAGTTACTATGTTAATACCATGATAGCAATGCGTGTTCGATCATTTCAAATCCGTGTTTCAAAGCAGTGATAGCTATATCTACAACAATTAGTATATATTAAAATAACCTAGAACAGAAGATGATGAAATTATCCTAACGGATACGGGAAAGGAACGTATGATTTCGTCGCAGCCATATTTATAAGATCGTGTGTGTTGTTGACCAATGGAGTTGTCTACCAGATCATGGTATAACGCGTTTAGACATAACAAAATCACATCATAAACTTTGTCCAGAAAACGAGACTACATAATTTTGAAGTCACTCCTTCTTCTGATTTGTTCTCGTTTATGTAATTATCATAACTCTGCTATCGTATTGGAAGAATTTTTTTACGTGCAACTCAAATCTGTACATTAAACAATGTTGAATACTATTAGATTTAAAGTATTTTAGAGTTTGAATAACTCCAATATCTCTTTTTATTATTTCGATTTAGATTACAATATAACCTCGTTTTAGCGAACTCTATTTCTCGAAGACACTGTTTATTTCGAAGCATCTTATGGTTTCACACTGAATATTCAAGCTCAAATGAATCGAATGCTTGGATAACTCGAAGTTTTCCCATTGTCTCGCTGACTTCGAGATAATGAGGTTCGACTGCATATATTTTTTCTATTTCACAATAAAACTGAATATGAAATATCTTATGCCAGCAGCCCTTATTTGACCGCTGAAGGATCGTCAAATTGTGTCTATTGTTAATATGAATACAAGTTAGGTGACAGATAAACAGAATGACCTCATATCAGAGGATGAACATATACTCCTGTGAATACAGTCCAAATCATCACTGAGTAAATGGGATGTCAAAAAGCAAAATGAAAATAGAAAACTTACGACATCAAATATCTGTGTGATGGTAAGTCCGATCTTGACGTTAACCGGATGTGACGCATTATAGACGGGTCGTGTTTTGTTATTATAAGACCTCATCAGGATCATTAGAAGTCTTTGTTCATCGGTCAGTCGGGGGTTTGTTTCCTTCAGGCAAGATTCCATAGTCTCGTTCTTCGTGTGAGCTGAAAAATAAATGTATGGACAGAATCCGATATTTATTTACACAAAACACGAGTTTGTCTGGACGCCTCTGGTCCGTTTGTTAACGTTCGCCATTTGTTCCTGAAAGGCAATTAGGCGGCAACCTAATGGACATGGCGTATTATCGTAAATCAAATTAGGAATAAACGCAATAGATTTTTATTACTCAAAGAACTGTATTGTACGATAATTTTCTTAATGTAAAATAATTAAATAATAATTTTACGGATTTAATGACTCCATGAAGGATACTTTTTTCATAAATGAAATAAGATAATGAAAACACTGATGAGAAATAGACAAGCGCACAACAGTGCATGGTGATGATTAATGCTAGATTCTAAAAGTACAACTTCAAAATGCAAGGATTCTATGTCTTATCTTCGTACCGTAATATGTGACATTTATTTGATGTACAGGCTCCTTAACATCTAGTAAAATGGTGCTTATTCAGAATTTATGTTCCCATGTTCTATTTCTGAAGAGTCGATCAAAAACTTGATTTATAGGAATATGTTTGATTTTTCCACATGTTCGGTATTTCTTTTCCACAGAACATACATATATCTAACGCCCAGATGTGTAAGAGCATGATCGTGTGGGAGCGGAGAGATTTGTTATTAAGCTGAAACAGACGCTTTACTCAATATCGTCCCGCAAACTACAGGTCTATAAAATTCAGAAAATACAACAGACAAGCGTTTTGAAAGACACAACTGTTAATACATATATCTATTTTCTGTTTGTTTGTTTTTTCTTTATTTTTCAATAAAGCTAATTATAAAAGCAAAGATATGGATATGAATTCGTCTTATTCGAATTTGTGTGTATGCATAAGCCAATTTGTATATTTCCGTGTTGTAAGGTCTCACTGTCTCGTACCAACGCATATTTTAAATGAATAAACCATGTAAATGGTACATGTATTTGATGGGAAAACGGTGACATTTCATCTGTTTTTATTGAGAGTACAGATCTTAAGCAGACAAATAACTAATGCCATAATATGTTATTTACTATTTAAATGGGCGTGCATTTTCAAGTGATTATTGTACGACATTATCAAAAATGTTTTCTAACGAAACTATGACAAAGTTATTTCCAGTCATACTCGTTTTACAAAGGACGATGATGGCTGTCCAGACATTTCTTGCTATGTGGTACAATAGAGTACTGGCGCTAAGTCTTCAACTTGAAGGAACTTTGGTAATGTTTTAATCAAGAAATATATAACCATTCATAAAAAGGCCTCAACCAAATTGTTGAACAATAAACAACTCCTTTCGTAGATATAATAGTACGGTTTCCACCTAGAGAATTCCTATTTCCGTAACTTTTGGGATATTGTTAAGAAACAAAAATCAAAGAGACGAGGCGTTTTATAATCCAGAACTGATAAAATTTTCGAACATAGAATCAGAGGAGCACGTGCTGTTATAAAGCCATCTCCTTTTAAGTCAACACATCAATGCACAGATTTTTGCACAAATTCGTAGTTCAAACGCCGATGAAGATTGCAAGGTATATATTTTCAAACAAAAACATCAGATTTATGAATTAAGTATAACGGCATTTTAATAAAGAAAGGGTTTAACGACAGCTAATACTTTTTGGCATCGACTTGCTCTGGGACAGTGTTTGCAATCCTTTTATGCATATAACGTAAACAAGTGTGTGGTTCTTGTGGCATATCAGCGAGTACATTGTACTAATTATCACCCGACATAAGTAAATATAACGATTTGTGAGAAATTCTGCTAAATCGTAAAATGTCCGATTGTCTGGAAATAGGAAAAAAAAAACACTTTTTGACTTTAAATATGTTCACAAACAAAATGAGAGCGTCAGATACCGACAACTTCCTGGTAAATCTGACCGAGTCACACAGGCACCGCCGTCACTAATGTCTACTTTAGTACAATTTCAGTTTGACTCCGCGTCATTTTATTGGCAATATCCTGCCGCAAAAGGTTTTAGAAAAAAATTCTGACGTCATACTGTGTAGGCTAAACATAAATATTACAAATACCTTTGAATTGAAATAGCAAATTACAAATTTGGATTATATTCTTTTTTTGTTGTGGTTAAAACAACTTCATTTTGTTTACTTGTTGACAAATATGTATTGGCGGAAAGTCTTGAAATAATATTACGTTCTTTTTCATAGGACTACTGACACGAAACAACCGTATTCTACTTAACCTGCGTGAGTACTCCAACAATGTAAATGTACTATCTGTAAAAAAAGGTTGAAGTATTTTTATGGTGCTAGATAAAGTTTTATTTATTTCATTGAAAGCATACCATTTAAAAAAATTGTTTAGCCTTATCGTCTAATAGAGCCCATAAATTGAAAAGGAACATTAATTTTATCTTTATTAAACTACTCTCCCCTGTCTGATTTCAAGCTCGGCGCACTTAGCGACAACAGAATTAAAAAAAAAGTATTTTAAAAAAGTTGCAGGTAGCACAAGATACTGAGTCTTATCCTGAAGCCGAAGCAACAGTATTTCAGTACAAAATGCATTCCGAATCGTATTAGAAGCGCTGAACGCTCAATTGAATTACAGGAAATAGCATGAACCACATTAGTTTAATGCTGATATCTATATTTCTCTATGTGTTACCTATTTGGTAAAAGCAAAATAATTATGATAGAAACTTGAAGTTTGAATGCAATTATCTGGAATAACTCTAAGGAATTATAGATATCATTACTGCATTTTGAAATTGTGGGATGTTGGGTTTGAGGGATTACTAGTGTAAAACATTACCGGTGTCACTGTAGCATCATCTTCTCACTTATTTGCAAACTCAACCTTCATAAATCGGCGTGTTGCAGGAAAATCGCAGATATCCGTATGGACTTAAAAAGACTTATTTGTACCACATCGTAAATAATTTCAAAATATCTCCAAGTTAGTTTCTGTAGGTCACCAAAACAGTATTATCTGAACATAGATTAAGTTTCCGCAACACGGAAAGAGGACGCGAATATAACATATAACATTATGAACACCTAATGCTTTCTGTAAATCATGCATTATATCTAAAATTTGATGGTATATTAGCTAGATTTATTGTAATGTATCTGTCTCTTGCTACGATTACGCATTAACGTTGGTGTTACTGTATCCAGGACCACGCGGTCAGTGCAGTCATATGACACAACATTGTCAAGAAGTCTAATATAGTGTTGCTTTCGATGTCTGCGGTACGGTGTGCCACGTGTAGAGTCATGTGCACGGTAGTACAGAATACGGACACTCATTGACATTACAGAATGGTCCGTGAAGTTGAAATTTTGATGTAAATATTAATTCTTTTCACTGCTTATGACGATGCATACATTGCCTGTCATTTTGTTTCACAAACATAAATTAAAGCACACAAAATCACATTCAATACCATAAACAACAATGGTAGTTTAACAAGTTGATTCATGTGATAATTTTAATGTAAGTAAATGGAGTCAGTACTTATCAATAACTTCTCGTACCAACGAGAGTCAAATGTGACTTAAGTTTTGTTCACATTAATTTCACGTTTGATTCGTGTGCGTTTGATAGTATGATAAAAAGAACGGAAGTTACTTGGTTTTCACAGGAACACTTCAGTGCAAATGTAGATATAATGATTTACCGGCTTAGACGTCCCATTAGCCTGACCAAACTTACCTGACTTTGCGGCCAACAAACACACTGCGACAAGTACCGCCACCTGTCGTGTTGTGTGTTTCGCCATGTCCGCACCGACCTTCTTGCTACGTCACTTCCGCATCATATTCAGTGGGCACTGATGCCGTTCTGTTTATCTTCTCATCTCTTCCAGTCATTCAGTTGCACGAAATAGGCAAACATTTGCTGCATGTTGTTCGCATCATAGTCCTTTAAAAAAGCACACAAAAACAATCCTGTTTACACAAACAATACTTTAAGCAGTAACAACAATAATATGTGTTGACAACCACAGCGTAGTGTTGAACAATCCAATACAGGTAATGAAGCTAGATCACGTGTTAAACAGTGTTGTTACAAGTCACGTTGATAAGAGACTGATCAATGCTGCAGTTTTAGCTACACAAAGCATACAGGAGGCAATCTGTTTTCATATTGCTTGCTTCTCTCAGTTTAAACTTGTAGTACCTGCTCGTTACTTGTCAAAGTACTGTTTATATGTTGATACATTTAACAATCACTTAGCTCTGTTTTGTATGACTTATACTCAGGTATAAGCCGAATACAAGACATTAAATCATCAGATGTAGTGTTTCGATTAATTTCATGATTTAATCCGTATTGCGATTTGTACATGCACGTTATTATTTCTGATTAAATAGGAAAGTTATTTTAAACAAAGAAAGCAAACCATCCTTCTAAAAAAGCTTCCTTTATCATACAGTGTGGACATGTTACCGCCAACGCTTATACTAACATCTCATCTCCCAGTGAATTCACCTCTTGTTTGGCACGGTGTGCTAATGAATGCGATCAGAGAACACTATGCTAAACGCAGGCTTTGCTGTTTTCACCAGCTCTAATTGATAACACCATTTTCATATGATGTAATTTTGAAAAAAAAATAGTGATACACGCCTTAACATGCAGTTCTCCTCCTCCTGGATCATTAGGTAAATGTGTTTTTTCTATTTGGTAAACAACAACGGAACGTATATTACAAAGTGCCCTGTGTTCTGGTGCTAAATCCTGTTAATTGAATTAACGTATTGACAGTGTAAACAAGCAAAAAGGTGTCCAAATGTTCAACACAAATTCTAAACACTCTATGAAATAAATCCATGAAACATTTGACCGACAATGCCTAAAACATTCACAAACACCGAATTAAGCATTTCTGTGAAGTAGATTGAAAAGAAACATCCCATAAAGCTGTACACTACTGCTGAAAATAGACCGAAATAAGCGTCGTCTTTCTCAATAAACGTCATGCCGTATTACTGAGCCTGTATATAATCACTGGCCAGCACCATAGTAATATTTGTTCGATGGCCACAGCACGCGCCTCAAGTCATGCTCTCGTGCAGATGAACGAGATACTGTTCAATTTGCTACAGTGCTAGGGCCTTGTTACTCCGACAAGGTCGAAAAATCAGAAATGATTAACTGACATTGAATGAAGGTCAGCGTGGAGTGCAGGGAAGCGTAACGATGTAATACAGTTACCGGGGAGAGTCTACTCTGCTAAGCATGCTCTTTTGTTCATCGTTGTTTTTGCCTCTATTTCTTTTAGTTTTTTTTTAGATATATTCCATAAACGGAATATTGATGACGTTCATTTTAAAAATATTTGTATTTTTCAAACGTTATTTTCCGTCGTTTTAAGTTTTCTCAGCGTTGGTTTTGCATTTACCATTTACGTTTCTTTCTTCTGTTTTTAGGGGTCGGATAAAAGATTCTTACCTGAGATATTATTTTAGTTGCATGTTTGTGACCGATCCCGAAATTTACAATAAAAGGTAATGACAATTGCCAAAAGCGAAACAGTGCTGCACAAGACCTATACCACTGAAGTAATTAAAGAAAATCCCATACAATACTTATCGATCAAATTTTGTTCTGTATAGACTCCAATTTTACAGCGTTTTGTTAATTGCATTAAAAGATAAGTTACTCGATACGCTATTCGAGATTCTATAATTACCTTTCAAAGTCGTGTTGCTGCGGCAAGGTGGCATGGAAATTGTTTGACACGAGGAAGTGTAGACTGATGTACCGTGTGCATCTTTATTGTTTACCAAATCAAATGTGTCAAGTTGATTATATATAAATCATTCCAAATAGATTCCATTTCTTAATGATACAGTCCAACGTAATTGGTAGTTGTTAAACAGACAGTTTGAGTAGGAACCACAAAATTAACATATCTGTATATTACATACCATAATGTCCAAAGTTTTAACTTGCCTAACACTTAAGAATATTTCATCTTTGTTCATTTATCCACTAACCCACAAGGCATTCTCTTCATTCGAGTAATGGCACGATTCAGAAAATACACGTATACGTGACTTTTTTCTGAAATTTTCATATACATGAATGCATGCATTTGAAATGAGGGCTAGTGCATCAGCCCATCTAGATTTTACAATCCAAAATTTCTTTCGCTCACTTTGGATTTTTCTCAGTCATCTCCTAGATTAAAAAAATGAGACATTCATCATCGTTCATGAGTCCTAGGAGGACGAAAAAAGCTTCATGATGAAGTTTTATGTTATGGCTCTACCGTATCTAATTCTAAATTTGTACTTGTGTCCGTTTTTCTCCTCTTAACATTATTGCTTAGATTTGTTGCAATATGATTTCGTTTTATAAATTGTCTACAATTTCATAAAATCAGGGATTGCACATTCGAACGGATATAACTGTAGTCATACTCGCTATGTCTTATGTAATTCTGCTATGCAGTACATACAAAGTTTTCAGACAAAATAAAAACATATGAAACATCAGTTCCAATTATCAACCTAAGCTGAATTTTCTGCGTATTCTTTTGTTTCCAGTCTGTCGAAATGATAACAGTTAACATCAGAATACAAAGATGTAGGTGATAAATGTCCTAGAGATGTTCGTTATGTCATGCAATATTTCATATATCTGTTGTGCCTAAAGAAATGGGACGTGCAGTCGGTATATTCCCCACAATAAATGTTCATAGTGTTATTATATAGTCTCTTATCAGCAAAAATTCTCCCTAATAAAATAATGATGATAATAGTAAATAATTTTATTATACTGTACTGAATGACGTCGAAGACAAACTAGATGGTTGGTAGGTCATCGGAGACAGCAGCAATAATGATAGCTTTACTGTAATAATGCTAAATCGAGAAATCTAGGGGATTAGCAAAAACAGTCCACACCAGCGACAGGCCGACTAGGACTATGTGTCTCGAGATGCCCGACGATCGATATTTCGGAACCATTCTGACTTACAAATGGCTGCGAACATCCTTTATCTAACCCCAAAAGGACAATTTTTCGTGACGCGTTATCGCCTGACAAAATATGTTAGGTAGGTTGAAACGACTTTAGCACCCCAAAACAACGAATTATCATGACCATGTGCGCGTGACTTAATACTTGCGGGGAACGCTAATGTGTATTTTACCCTTTTCCGTTTCATTTAATGTATTGAGTGAAAATTACACTGTAAGCATATATCGCCGTCTTGTAGGTGTCTAAAATCTTCCCGCCAATTTTATTTTATTTTGATTGGATTTTCTTTCGTATTTGCGTCTCTATATGCATAACAGACACAAATTAACAACTTTCACATGCGTTTATATTCTACCTACGCACCAATTATCGCTTGGTTTCGGAAATAATAAAATACCACTTCGAAAAGAAATCGTTTTGCAGAACCGTGTCACATTTGCGTGGTGTTATAATAGATTTTAATTCCAGAGCTGTATACACCTACAAGCGTTACAAGTTTCAATGTCATATCATACCCTAATCATCTTTGCGGTCTTAAAAACACGTTTGCCCTCAGTTTGAAACAAGACAAGTAGAAATAAAGGGGGAGAGTATGCATGAATATTTCTCCGAATAGGGGCCTTAACGAGGGTGATTACTAAGAGATAGGCACAAAATTCTATCCAATCAAAATACTTTTGAATATATGATAAGTTATAATAGTTGAAATGATTATGCAATTTCGCTTGTTTTTATAATTATTTGCCAATAACAGTAACATATTCCGCATTTAAAGAAATCAACAATCGTTACGTTAGATATCGTGAAAAAGGAATCGCATAAAATATGTCCTGGTCTCAAATCGGTTCGTTTGAAATTCTGTGTCATGAAGCTATCCGTGAGCAATTTCATTTCATCATTTTGTGGATTAAATAACAAGCAAGATGGATGTTAATTCTATTCTTGTTTTTATCTTTATAACAGATCGTCTTTAGATCTTAATTCTAAATTCAATACATGATATGAGGTTTAATCACTCTACTTCTTCTAAAAATTAAAAATATTTTGCTCACGAAAGAAGGTTGCTCCCATTCATATATGCGCTTTCATCGAACTCATCAAAGACATTGTCAATAGATATCTAGCTTTTTTCACGCAGTATACATATTTGTAAACATTCGTGAATCAGCTTAACATAGTTCACATAACATATCGGCACACTGTATCCATTACTTTAGAAGAAAACCCATATATCTGTTTTCAGTGTGATGTTCTTACAAAATAGCGTTTAAACTGTAAATAGATGATTTTTCAAATTAGGGACATATTGGTCATGACCGATGCCCAAATTTAAAAAAAAAATAAATATTTTGTGCTTATAACAATGCTCCACATATTTACGTTCGGTCCGTCAAAAAAAACTGCAATTGAGACAAGCGTGTGGAATGGCTTTAAGACTAGTATATTAAAACAATAAATAATGTTAAAACGCATACAACCGATAGAAAAATATTAAACCATGATGTCTCAAGGTCAGGTACTGCAGATCAAGATTTCATTGAAAGTATGTAGCAGACTCCATGGGGATATTGTAAGCGCTTTCTATATACAATCAAGCTTGTGACTACAGCTGCAAGGTAATGTATGCATGCCACGGGAACGTCATCAAACGTCAATAAAGCTGGGAAACATTTCCACGTTGTGTTAAACACAAATAGAATGCCTGGTTTATCTATCGCTTCAGGGATAAATAAAGTTTAGTGATTACAAAAAGAGCGGCATTATTCCAGACTTCGGATGAAAATAAACTTGTGTTAATTTTTTTTGAAAAGTTCAATGCAATTCCATCTGGACGAGATGGCCGTGACTTTCATTCGAATAGTGGCACAGTTAGGAATAAACACTTATACTCGAAGCTGATCTGAAATCAGATATGTGTGGCAATAGATAAA